TGCACCGAACCCAAAGTGACAGTGCAAAAAAGGTGAAATCTCCCCAATACGAGGAGAATGCAAAAGATTCCTTCAGGCAAGTGCATTCTCCAGTATCAAAAATAGGTACTGATAGGACAGACAAAGATAAGAGAAAAGAAAGAACGGATAGAGATAGAAGAAAATCTGATAAAGTAAAAGAGAGAGATAAAGAAAGAGGAAGGGATAGGGAGAAAGAGGACAGACCACCAAAAAAGCTTAAAATCAAATTAAAATCGGATGATAGGGCAATAGTCCCTCCCTTGCGCATAAGAACAGAGGAAAGAGGGATTGGTCTTAAATTAACACTTAAGAAACAGGAAGGTTCAGGGGCATATTATAGTGTGGGTGAAGAGAGAAAGCGAGAGTATCGAGTGGAACAGAATGAGGAGGATGAGGAGGAGGAAGAGGAACAACTGGAGGAGGTGCCCAGAAGGCCATTTGAAGAGGAGGAAGAGGAGGAGGAGGAGGATGGAGACCAAGAGGGACATGGGCTGAAGGAGGTGAAGGTTGTGCTCCAGGATGTGCTCAAGGACAAAAGATACAAAAAGCAGATTGAGGAACGCAGTAGTAAGAAGAGAAGACGAGAAAAAAGTGATAACAGAGGAGACAGGGTGGAAGGAGGGGACCGTGGTGAGAGGGCGGATAGAAGTGAGAGAGGTGACCGGCAGGACCGGATGGACAAGAATGACTGGTGCGACCGGAATAACTCTGTGTGGACAATTCACTCGCATCACCAGAGCGAAGGAGAGGAAAATTCATTGCAACATGCCAACCATGAGAACAGAACTTGGAACCACAACAGTGGTGTCGAGTGGCGAAGGAGTGAAGGCGCTTCCAGTATCGAAAACCTAAGTGATCACAGGACATCCAGAGATTACAGTCCCCGATTGCAGCCTCTGAACGACCACTACGGACAGGAGTACTCCAGTCGGCATAACCATTCTCAGCCATATGGGCATTCTGGGAGTCAACCAAGAAACTCGCATAACTACTATTAGGCTCCCTTATCTCCTCTTTACATGTTTCTGGAGAGATGATTGTTATTTTATTTTTATTTTTGTCTTGAATTGATGTATGAATCTTTTTTTATCATTACCATCTTGGCTCTTATACCTTGCAGTTCTTTAATATAGCACAAATAGAATGGATGTGTAAAAAGTTTTGAGTTTATGGAGAAGAAAATCGGTATTTATCCATCAAGATTTCATGTAAATGATATCATGATGCTTGATAAATATAATCTGCTTATTTATTTCTTGGAAAAAACTTCAGTGCCCAACATTTTAGCCTATTATTGAACGTTTAAACTTTTCTTTTTATCAATTTCCCCCCATCCCCCTTTATTTAATTAGTATCATCTTTATTTTTTTGTTTTGTTTTATATATTTTTTTCTAGCATCTTAATGTTGAATCTAGTCTCAATCCACCTCTACTTCTGGACTGTATATAGCCAGGGTATGATTGCTCAGTAACAAGTGACACGTTTGCAATTACTAAACCTCTGTCAAGATGACTCACAGTCTCAGCCATTTTTTCTTTCTTTTCATTTTTTTTTTCCCCACACAATTTGCTCCGAGCTGCTAGAGATGGAGGTGCGTTCTTGTCTCCCACAGTGTTGGGGCAACTTGTGAAAAAGAGGCCATGGGATGCGTGGCTCATCTTGAAAGGGGGCTTCTTAGAATGGGAAAGGGCAGGATTTCCCCATGTGATTGTCAAAGTCATTCGAAGACTTTTTAATACTTAAAAACCCTGTGGTGTACCTATGTTTCAGTAGGTGTAAATGTTTTATATAGGATCCTATTAGAGTAATTTAGACGACCTAACGAGCGTGGTTAATGCCCTTCATAAGGAAACTCATTCTCAAAATATGTGATCTCAAGTGTGATTTTTTTTACAAGCTTTTCTCATTTTCTACTGTTGCAGTGGTATGAAGTATGGTTTGTGTGTATATTTTTGCCATGTACTTACTACTATTGTCCCATAGGTTGTTGAGATTTTCAGGGAGTTTATCAGCCTAGATAACTGATATAATTTTATCTTTATTATAATTATTGATTATGACTTTTTTATGATAAAGCTAAATAAAATGAAAAAATACAGGCTGACTTGCTATCTACAAAACAGTACTTCAGCAGTGTGGTGATGCAGAATTCTGTTAATCCAACATTATGGGTTTGCAATAAGTCAAAGATGCATAATTCTTTACTAGTTGTCCCCCTGCTCCATCGTATTTCAAGAAGGCAATTGTGAACAATCAATAATCACATTGAAAATAGCTTTTCACAAGGAAGGGAAACTGGTGGAATGCATAAATGTTTAGTGATATTTATTTTGAGTGTAAGGGAGTGTTACTTATCTGGAATATATTAAAGGAAAAGCTGTTATTAGGGGAAGATGGTTTGTGCTCGAGTTTCTGTCTAAAAATGTAATATATATATCTTCATTAGAGAAAATAAAGAAGTGATTATTATAAAAAGAAACTATTAATTGATAGGGCTCATTTATTAATGGGGCTCAGTGAGAATTTCTTTAATAAATTATTTGCCCAATAATTAACTTTTCCTTTTCTTTTCTTTTTTTTAATATCCACCAAGATATTCTGGACAATCCAAGAGCTTTTTGAAATATTACATTTATTATTTGATATAATTTCTTTTAGGGGAGAAAAATGATGGACTTGATAACTAACACTCTCATACCAGACAGAGCTTGATAGCAAGCTTTCAGTGATTTTCCCTCCTAGTATTGACACCCAAGTAAGCTTGTGGAAGAACTGGCATGAAGGCACCTTTGTCCTCTGGAATATACTTCAGGGACATAAGGAACAAGACTGGTACTTTGGCAGCTACATGTTAAGAAGACAAATGCCAGTTCTTCCCTCTCTGAAAAAAAAAGAAATAGTAGAAGAATGGTCAGGAACAGATAGTAGAGGCAATTATTTTTTTGTTTTTCCTCTTTTAGTTTATTTCTCTCTCTCCCCCTCCCTCTTTTTTTCTTGTGGTCAGTTCCAGAATTTTTGGAGGTCTTTGCTACTTCCTTTAAGAGTACAACTAGCTTATGCCGAGGCTTCACCCTGTGGAAGGTAGCTGTATAACCTAGATAGCTTTCATACCACAAATACGGCAGCGATATTGAGGTTTAGTTTTTATTGTGTACAATACATGCAATACTTGTTTATTTCTTATCAGTGGTGTCCCTTCCAAGTAAGCAGTCACAGGTTCCAGGAATCTTCTTAAACATCCTATTGGGTGTGTCCTCATAGTATTCTACAGCTCTATTATTGCTTGTGCATATCAATGGTGCAGTTTTTTATATAGACTTAACAGACTGTTTATTGCATTTTATGCAAAAAATATGCAGTATTAGTTTTATAGTACCATGAGAGAATTTGTTAAGTTTCTTTAACCTGTCTGCTGAAACAGTTTTTAAGGTGAAGGCACAATGTCTCAAGCAGCAGCAAATGTGTATGCAGAGCACTTTTTGTGAGCAGCTAGTTATGTGTCATATTCACATGCAAATGATGTTGAACTACTGGAATATCACTATACAGAATTTGCTGGACAATTTGCTCTGCTTAAGATTTCAGGCTTCATTAGCTAAAGAATTAATTAAAAGCTTGTGGTTACATTGTGACAGAAACCACAGACTTGTCAGACACCGGAGCATGAAGACATTGTTTTAGCCCAGTGTCCGTACGTGCTTCACATTGTGCTACAAATGGGGTCAGCGGTGCTTTTATGAATATCCCAAAATGCTTTCCTTTCAACAGCCAAATCCAAAATTCACCCTGTGAAGGAATCTGGCATTAAGTATACTTCTTCAATACTGAATGGCAAAAAAAGGCAGTCAATGTAAATTCTGAAGTATCACTTTTTAATCCATGTTCTCCTAAGAAAATTATTTAATTATATTTATTATTTGAAGTACAGTCTCCCATCGAAACAAAAGTTACTCAACGTATGTCTCATTACCGTAATGTGACCTGACCACCCAGTGATCTGTTGTGAGTGTAAGGGAGGGGGTTTGCAAAATTGAACTGTGCCATAGAGATCATCTGCCCCCTCCAGAACGTCTCTGTTGCTGTTAGGCCAGTTTTCGATTATTGGTCCATTTAATGAATCTAAAAAATAATAATAATAATAATTAATGGGGTTTTCATTACTGAGTTTTCCACTGCTAGGAGAGTAGCCCATATTTGAAAGCTGGTTGGAAGAGTCACCATCTTTCATGTTCTAAGAAGTGATCTCTCCAGTCTTCATAGGGACACTGTTCAGTGCCTTTTGTCGAGGAAAGTTTACCCCCTTTGCATAAAAAATGTATGATCGATTTGTGAATTGAAAAATCTCAAACTTTTTTCGGTTGATTTTTTATTTTAGATAAGAAATTCCTATATTATGGGTTACTTTTCCGAGCTCCCATTAACTCTGGGTACTTGACGCTAGGCCAAGTTACTCAGTTGTGTGTCAATGGAATGTATCCACACTAAATGAGGGAGGGACTATCATTTTAAGCAAACATGACATATGAAAGAAAAAAAAGAAAGAGAAAAAACTATTTTGAATAAGTTATTTTTTATACCTCATAATGTTAAAAAAAAGTTGATAGTTGATTTTTTTTCTATTTTCATTTGATTTTGTTATTTTTTGTTGGAAGGGACCTATGTTTTGTCTCTCAGGGTCCATGAAGTATGGTAAACTCACAAGATATGTGATGACTAAATGTATCTTTTAATAATAAAATTATGAATCAAAAGTGAATCTGTGTTTGTTTTAAAAAAAAAAAAAAAAAAAAAAAAAAAAAAAAAATGAAGTTTTCCATATCCATGCAGTTTTACTTCTTTGATTTCTATGTTTTTGTTTTTTCTTTCACATGTCTGATTGGTCACTTTTCTCTTTTCTGTGATTTCTCTATATGACTTTTTCTTCAAACTGTCTTATTGAGTCCACCTTCCTCTTTATTTCAACTGTATTCCACTCTATTCATGAAGCTTCTACTATTACGTAACTCAGGTTGAGCATTGTAGAATTATCATAGTAACAACATGGAACAGTAGATCCTTCAAAATTAGAGAAGTGGAAAACTTGGAAAGACCAAAGATGAGCTCACGGGTTATACATCAACATCAAAATCAAAAATCAAATGAAAAAAATCAAACTAGTACTTTTTTTTAACTTAAATATAAAATACTTTTTATTTTTTCTTTTTTTTTTCTTTTTAATGTCTAGTTTCAAAATGCATCTTAAAATAAATTCTTCCCTTCAAGTATACTTGCACAACTTCCATTTTACGAAGAATGTTTTCCGAGCTTTTATCCCATTTTTCTTCCTAAACTAGCTTAATGGGACGAACTCCAAAATAAGAATCAAATTTGACTTTCTTCTATAAGATGCAATACAAAGTGAACTGTATTTTTTCTCTCTTATCCATCTCATTTATTTCTAATATTGGCATTCCTTCCTCAATACATTTGAACCTATATGAATGTGGCCTTCTCATGAACTCTGGCTTCTACCTCATCTTTTCACAATCGGCTTATTTAGATTCCTATGACCGCAAACTTCTTTCTGGGACGACAGAAGGCGCCAACTGCCTTTTAATTAATTTTAGCACCCACTTTGCTTTTTAAACTTGGGAGAGATTTCATAGGGTTTTGTATTTAGACACCTGAAATTACTATGCTGCTCCCATACTGAACTGAAGGTCCGCTCTTCAAGTGGCCTGGCAACACATCCTGGCTTGACCAGTCGAGGTGTATAGACGGCTCTACTGAAGGGCCTGCATATCCTTAAACCCTGGGAATTGGGTAGTTAATCTTAAAAAAGGAGGTAGGTTAAAAGAACAAATCCAGATGTAATGAATATGATGTAATCATAATGTCCAGTACCATAAATCAATAAGAAATTCTGTGAAGGTCATTCCTGCTTCCATGGTGCCTGGGTAGTTGTTGTCTGGAAGGAAGGGAGGTGTATAGAAGAAATGGTGATAAAACGGGGAATAGGAAGTAATCAAAATGATCAGTAAATTAAATAATAACAAATTTGGATGTAATGATGATGATGATAATGTCCCTACCATTACCACAAAGAATAAGAACACTTGATTTTCCCCTTGAGCAGCTGACGCCATGAGCACCCTAACATGTGATTTGGTATGGAGTCTAGGGCTCCCATTACTAGTGGTTTAACCTCTACGATCCAGGTGACATTACAGTCCTATTATGGAAAAATCTGGGTCGGGTGACATGAACATGCCATCATCGGTTGAAAAGACAAGTGCACAAACCTCTTGGAGTGTGATTAGACTCATTTGGTGCATTGAAGAAGGCTTTTGCATTATTCCCATCAATAAACAAATGTGGAATGTAATGTGCACTGGCTCCAGGGAAAACACCATTTCCATGCTCGGCATTATATTACAAGAAAATAAGATGTAACACACATATAACTAAATGTTACATTTTTTTCTTGCACTGAGTTATTTATTGCATAGAGAGATGATATGGAGTCTGTACAAATATGGCTAAAAAAAGTTTACACAAAATAATTTTGCGAAGGGGAGGCACAGAGTCTTGTCACTACTGCACATGGGTGTTCACGCATGTCCTGGATATTAGCCACTCACGTAACCCACTGGCCATATTTGCGGCACTGTGATTTCTGTGATGCAACCGGATCCAATGCATTAATGTGTGTATTACAAGTACCCACAAACTGAATCCAGAGGGTACTAATGGCCTAATATCCCTAAGGGAGAAGACAGACTTTATACACTAATATAAGGCTCCTCTGGATTTATGTGGGAGATAGCCCAGATACCAAGACCAAACTGGCATCTACCTGATGTATTTAAAAATTAGTTAACTCCAGTTTATCAATGATATCAAATAAACATAGTCCTTACTCAAGAGGTTAATTACAATATAAATAATGGGTAAACAATGGAGTGCTATTATATATATATTATATATTATATATAATATATATATAATATATAATAATATATAATATAATATATATATATATATATATATATATATATATATATATATATATATATATATATATATATATATATATATATAACAAAATTAGGCCAAAGTACTGTACTTACAGCAATGGTAGATATCTGGGGGACCATGAAAATAAGTGCCAATACCATGGCCAATAAAACATGGAACAACAGTGACCCTCTCACGTCTGGCAACTTGTTCTACTTTATGACCTGGAAGTGAATGAAATGGGGGTGAGAATAAGTAAACAGTAAAAATAAAGACTTGTCTTTCATTTCCACCTGGTAGACATTAATCTAAAATGACTGATGGTTAATGGTTGAAACAAATATATTTACTAGACATCAAAGGCAATATAATACTATGGTAAAGTATTGTGGTGAAAAAGATAAAAATGAGTCAAAGATTATGTAAAATGTGTTAGATCAAAGGTTATAAACATCATATGATGCATAGTAGTGAAAAGGGTAAAGAGGGGAGCAAATGAAGTAAAGCTGTGATTAGAGAAAGAGGAGAGGGCATAGGGTGATTGGATGAAATGGAGTATATTTGTGACTGGGGAAGGAATGGGAACATTCTTTAAGTTAAACAGGCAAAAGAGCCATTATGAAACAATCAACAGTATGGCATTGAAAAGGGAAAAGAGGGGAGCAAATGAAGTAGAGCAGAGATTAGTAAAAGGAAGGGGTAAGGGGGTAGGGCAACTGAGTGAACTGCAGTTTATCTGTGACTGAGGAAGGAATAGGGACATTGTTCAAGGAAAACATAAGTGGCTGTTGGAAAAGGAGGGGAATATGGAAGAGTGTCAGAAGAGGAGGGGTCTGAAGAATCCCTTCTGTCACTGTTGTGACAGAAGGGATTTGTGTGAGCATTCAGGTGGGAGAGGTAGAGAATATTGGGTGTGTTGGAAGACTTAAGGGGAAAGGGGGGTTAGGGGGAACTTGAGGGGGAGGATGGATGTCGGCAAATATTTTAAATGTAGAGGGAGGAGGATCAGAGGGATTGGAGGATGGGTGAGGGAGCGGAGTGTTCCCTTGGGTCATCTTTAGGAAGCTTTGAATGTCTTCAAAAGTTCCTGGAAGGGAGTTGGGTGCAGACAATTGAGAAACAAAAGTTCTCTTGTGAGGAGGAGAGGAGGGGATAGATATCTAAGGAGCAGAGGAAGAGGAATGTATAAGAGAGGATGAGGTAGGAGAAGGTGGAGTGGAATGTTTAGGTTGCCTGGTATGACATGCTAAGTAAGGAGGAAGGATTGGTATTGGGGAAGTGGTAGAGATGGAGTATCTGGATTTAGACTGGAAAATGTATTTGACTGGGGGAGAGAGGGAGGAGAGGTTGGATGGTTCCAGGTAGTAGGAAGAGATACTAGGAGAGAAGATGAGAGAAGAGCAGAGTGAAGGACAGTTTTGGAATAAGTAGAAGGAGAAAAACCTCGTCGGTTTTCATCCCATCTGGCCTCATGTAGAGTGAGGCCTAGCTTAAACCTGAGAACTGCTACCTCACATTCGTTTATAGGCAGGGCAACTCCTATAAAATACATTATGGGAGCCGTCACAGTTGGCACATGTATATGACTGAGCAGTCATGACCAGGTTGGGCATCGGGCTGTGGAGCAACAGTGTTTGGCTGGGTGGCCAAAACGCCAACATTTCTGACACTGACAAGGAAGGGGCTGATATGGTCGGACATGGTAAGACACTCCACCAATATAAACTTCATACGGGAGGTCGTGTCTACAGAAGCTAATCTTGGCAATATTGGTATGGCACCTATACTGACCTCTGGAAGGAATAGTGTAGCACTGTACTGACTGTATTATAATCAACAAAGCAGGCAAGTAGGTCACTTTCACAGTCTGACCAGTTCTTGTCATAGAGAGGACAAGCAGTTGGGGAGACAGAAACAATCCAGTACAGAGAGAGTTAAGGTTAGGCTTGATTGGGTTTGCCAGTGAGGTCTGTCAGGGTTGATAGCACATGAGCTTGGGATTCAGATAAACTGTAACAAGGCGTGAACGATCAGAACGGATGCAAAAAGAAACTTTGCCTACTCATTTTTTTGAGACATTGCTGAAAGAGAAGGGTATTCTCAGAATAAGGGGCTGTGGGAGGAATCACAAAAAAACTGATCCAACTTGCTGGGCCAAAAGAGATTACTTAATAGGTTTGCAGAGGTGGAGGAAGTATAAGGATGAGGGTGGGAGGAAGATGGGGTGATGTGAAGTGGAGTAGTTCTGTAGGGGGAGGACAATAAGGATGAAGAGTAGTAATAAGGGAAGAGGAGGTAGACATTATAGAAGACTGTAAAGTATGAGATGAAGTGGAGAATGTTAGTATAGAGGAATAGGTGCATTCTGAAGGGTTGAGCAATGACCTGAGTGGGTGGTTCAGAATGGGTGGAATTGTCAGTAAGCGTCAAGGAGGGGGTATTAGTATTAGCGGTCAGAGCCATGGACAAAGGGGGGTAGAAGTTAGAAAACCAACTAGTTCATGTATGGATCCCAAACAGATAAGGGTTAGGTGAATAACCAAGGGAATACCATGCCCATGGCTCCTGGAGGCCGTTCAAGACTGACAAAAAACCAGCCTTTCATCCTGTCAGCATGGCTCTAACACATTAGGAATGGGATAGAAGAAGGGGATGAAGAAGATACGGAAGAGGAAAGAGGGAGAAGACCATGCAAAATTAGTTGAGATGAGGGCTGTGGTCCAAAGTAGGGGCGATCTCGTACATTGGGCCTCAGTTTCCATCTCCTAAGCCCGCCACAATAACAAGCAAGGTATTGTGAGGGATTACAATAGCAAGTGATGATGATGATAATGATAATGATAAAGATAATTATAAAACACACAACCCATAGAGCATGCCACCTCAGTCTTATAATTATTTTTCTCCCATGAAATAACGTTCAAATACTTCTTTTATACCAGGAGGACACAAAATCTAAAGAACTATATTCTCTTGAAACCCATAAAGCCAAATCTATAACTGTTGACTATATAGCCATGTCTATAAGGGGCCAGATAATGATTAGCTGTAGCCAATCCTGTCAGTAGGTGGCTAAATGAGATACGGCCTCTGTCTGGTGATTCAGCTTAACTACAAGCACAGGTATTTCCCTGGTTTATACATAAAAGGTGCCTAATAATGAGCATGGATGTGATTTAATACATAATAAAAAGGATCCCAAAATAAATCCCATTATTACCAATAGCTGCAAATGGGACTCCAGGGCCACATATCGCAATGGCTTCATCTCTACATTTTCGTGCAGCATCAACTAAGTGTTGGCCGGCTTCGTCTGCATCTCCGATGATGAAGGTTTCGCAGCAGTCTCCATGATAGCCTTTGTAAAAAACCTGGAATATCACAACTTTAATCAAAATATGTAAAACCATGAATTATAGTTAGACTATAATGTAACTATTATAACTATTAGACTATTAAAACTTCTGCAAAATATGCTGAACACTATAAATATAGTTGTGGCATAAACCTGTTATTTCTTTGTGATCGTATTTCTTATACATATCAGCTGTCACAAAAATGACCTGAGATAACAGATATAACAAAGAAATGGCAACTTTTAAATAACAATTCATATATCAACATTTCAGCAAAAAGAAATTCCCATGTAAGGCACAGATTTATTGATTGAAATTATGGTCTCCAAAAATCCTGGTCCTTCATTATTAATAAGTTTTTTTTTTGTTAAAGTCTACTTGTACATGTATGTGAACTATAAAGAATACTTTATAATTACTACTACTATTACTTCTATTAATGCAATTACTACTGCTATCATTATCTGTGCTATCATTGCTGTTAGTACAGCTACTACATTCATCGTCATTAGTAAGTAGTATTACTACTGCTATCATTATCTGTGCTATCATTGCTATTAGTACAGCTACTACATTCATGGTTACACAAGTAAATATGTAGTAATAGTGTTAGCAGTGCTACTGCTACTATTAAAATAGGGTTTTAAATATCCACGTAAAAACAATAATACTAGATATAATGCTATTACTATTATTCCTCTTGGCTGGTCCAACTAATATTAAGGCTGTTATCATTACTCCTGCTGCTAATACTATTACTACTGAATAACTTTAAAAATCTAGATTCTAAAAACAATAAAGCTAGACATAAAAGCAAAAGACTAACAGTAATGTCAACTGAGATGATATCGCCATCTATCAACTTCCTGTCGTCTGGTATCCCATGGCAGGCGATGTTATTGACACTCGTGCACACACTCTTTGGAAATCCATGGTAGTTTAGGGGTGAGGGATAAGCTCCATTTTCGATGATTTTATTGTGAACGAGGACGTCGATATCTTCCGTCGTCATGCCACTCTGAAAGAAAGTTTGGAATAAATTTGTAACACATATGCTAATAATTTTTTTCTTGATGACTACGATGTTTCAAATTTCATTTCATATTCTAGTGTCTCTACAGATTAGGAAGAATAGAGTGAGAAGGAGAATCATAATCAGATGAGAGAGAGAAACTTAATAAAGAGGTGAGGAAGAGATTGACAATGAAGATAATAGGAAAAAAGTGAAAAAAAAAAAAAAAAATTATTCAAGAATGAAACAGGTTAAAAAAAAAAAAAATATATACATGTATAATGGGTATATTGACAGAAGAAGAAGAAAAAAAAAAATCTTACTTTAATATTTTCTGCAACGGTGTTCATCACCAGCCTTGCCAGCCGACATGATTCCCTCATTGAGTCCACCTGCCACTCAGCTTTTAATTCTGGCCCACTTGGCCCTTCTGCAGGTTCCCCAGTCTCGAAATACACTGGACATGCGATGTGCGATGGGACTGGCTGAGCCTGAGATACTTCCCCTGTGTTGTCGAGCACATCGTAACTTCCGAAGTCGGTTCTGGAATTATGCATTTAAGATAGAATGATGCTCTGTTGGCAAAACATTTCATCTATGATTGCTACTACTATGATTACTATTTCTATTACCTCTACTACTTTTTTTAATGTTTCTATAACTACTACTACCACTCTTACAACTACATCAACTACTTTAACTACAATCAACTGTAACTACTACTACAGTACAAACCACAGCTGGAATGTTACATTTTTCAATAACATCTTCAATTAACTGAAGCCATTTTGATGCCTGTCAATCCACTGCCCTTATATTTCTTCAGCAAAAATAAAATAGGTAGTTACCCACACATCACTTTCAACTTTTTCTGTTTCTCTGTTACATTTTATAGTAAAAATAAAATAGGTAATTGGACTAAAACGTAGAAAGGTATATAAAACTTGTCAATGACAGAAAGAAAATTATCTCAACAAAAACAGTGGTTTAACAGAATATACATAATATCAATCCAAAGAAACCCTCTTTACTGATAATGTGTCAGCACTGTGTCAGTTAGCCTAACTGCTAATGCCTTTCAACTGCTCTGTGCTCTGACAATGGCCAAGTATACTCTAGAAAGAAAGAGTTTGTTGGCATCTCTACAAAACGTGTCCACTACCTATTTTAACAAAATTAAAAGAACCAAAACAAGATCTATCTAAACAGAATGTAAGTGGCCATGATAACTACTTGAAGTCATATAACTGTTATGCTGGCCATTGGTTGAGTCTGTTGGCTTTCATAGCACAGACAGATAGATAAATGTATATGTATCTAATAGCTAAAAAGATATGCATTCACTTCTGTGCATGTTGATATATGTAAATATTCGGTGGATGTAACCTTCATACAATTTCAATCAACAGCCGTTAGTCTGTTGTAGTTAATAACTACAATCACATTACAATATAAAAGAACAATGACAATCATGATCACCATCTAATCTAACAGTGTAAAATACCTTTTTTTTTTTCTGTTCTTATTCTCATGTCATACTCCCCATACAACAGCTTTATTCAGCAAAAATAAAATAGGTAGTTACCAACACATCACTTTCAACTTTTTCTGTTTCTCTGTTACTAAAGTCACCCTTTTCTGCTTTTCTACTCTTCCTGTAGATGCCAAGGTTTTAGAAAATGATGAATACTTAACTACCTAAACACACATATAAAAAGAGGGAAAAACCATGAAGCAATAAGCTACACATGAGGTTACACTGATGTAGCCAAGTGTAGCTTACAGTGATCAAAGTGGCAGCCTTGCCAACCAGAGCTCAGCTCCCAAAGCAGCAGCTTGTGTCCAATGTTGCAACAGCTCTATCCACGGATTGATTGGGCTGCTCAAGATTTTGTCTGCCGCTTCTAATAGTTGGAAGCAGCCACAACTCTATCCCCGGATTGATTAAACTGCTCAAGATTTAGTCTGCCACTTCTAATAGTTGGAAGCAGCCACAACTCTATCCATGGATTGATTAGGCTGCTCAAGATTTTGTCTGCTGCTTCCAATAAAGGAAGGTCTGTAAAACTAAGGTATGAGTGTAATTGGTGGTTGTATGAAGTAAAGGCTCCTGGATATCACATAGAAGTTGCTATTGGTGTGATGTTCATAAACTTTGTTATTTATACTCTTTTTCATTAGTTTTTCCCATACAAATTCTCAAGTATACTTCATATCCCCTTAAAAAACACACACGCACACACGCACGCACGCACACACACACACACACACACACACACACACACACACACACACACACACACAACACACACACACACACACACACACACACACACACACACACACACACACACACACACACACACACACACACACACATACACTATCATTATAAAGACTAAAAAACTATAAATATATAGAAACCATCAGCATAAATTTCAGGTACTGGTAAATGTTTAGAAAGCATCCACAGGAACTTTTAAAATTTGCCTTTTCTTGTATTTACCAGTATAGTTATATTGTTATGTCCGGATCCACTTTACAAACACACTGATCTGTGATGGATGGCCCACAATCTCAGGTTTTTCCTATAGGCTAGTGGTGAAATGTCAATAACCAAAGACTCTTCTCATGTACTCTGGCAAAGGTTAACAAACACTCAACATGTATATTCTGACAGCAAAAAGCATGGACTGGTACTTTTTGAAGTGATATATTAAAAAGGAGTTAAGCAACCCCTATAACCAGAATGTACATAATGGGGATTTGTTGGTAATATATATCTATATAATAACTGCACTCAGTCAAGGAAAATCTAAGGCCATAAGGAGGGAAAATCTGTCGGTACGGCCGCACTAGGTTAGGGCAAATTGAAGATGATAATCTTGTAGAGGACAAAAAGTAATAGTGGTTGGTACCAGAAATAATTTGCGGACACGAATGGTAATGCCACAAATAAAGAAAAATAGGTCACAACAAATGTGACCTTGGCAATCGCAAGGGAGTCAATAGGTAGTGCCCCGCTATGGGAATATAGAGATATGGTGGGGGTTTGAGGGGCAAAGTCCCCTTCGTAATTAGGCTTTTGGTTCATATCGCACTGTTTTCTTTTATTCTTTTAATACCCAGGAGTATCCTCATGGTTTTTGGCTATAGCAATAGGAGCTTTGCCTCAGTTGGGTGCATTCACTTTGTACCTTATTGGCTGTATCTTGCGTGGCTATAGACCCGAGGCCACACCAATACGACCAGCGGCAAATGCCCAGGTATCTTTTGAACATTCACCAAACAGCATACATATATATTCACTGCAATAACTATACATCAATATCTACATCTATATACTGGTAATTGTTCAATATACTTACTTTCTGAATATATCCCATAGAGTGCGATATTGCTGCAGTTGTGTATAAGAAACTCCGGGAAGTTTGTGAAATAGCGAAGATACACCATGACTTCTCCATTTAGCAGGTGAACTAAAATAAGGACCAGAATTGACTATAAACTGACCAGCTAATTTATTTCCTAATGATATTGTCCTTAATTGCTTAATACTAACACCTTTCAGCCTGTGAGAAGTCCTGGCTCGTGAACAAACATTATTTGACGCATTTCTCTTTAATGTCGTGCCTATGGCGAGGTTATTTAGTCTCCTGATAATGATGGGAGAGTTATATGTGGTGACAGCCGGCTCTGTAGTCCATGACAACTTCTGTAGCACTCGAAATAACATTTTAATGAAGCAAGAAATACGAGGTTGGTGTAAGCTACCGTGATGTAAGCGAACACTGAGAAATTAAATTAATTATATGATATTGAGGTAAAAGTGAAGGAAACCGTCTGTACGTTCCTTGTTAGTGGCATCTTACTTGTTTTATAATAAGTGTTCTAGTAATATACAATGAATAAAAGTGACATGTAGCCAAATTGGTATCCCGTGAAAATTGTGACAAACAAAAAACATTCATTCGCCGGGGTTTACGTTCGAAAATAATGAATGAAAAGTTCGAAAAAATATATACATATTTATTTGAAAGGAAAACTGATTTTTGCTTGTTGAAATTTAATTCACATTCAAAAATGTTATATACTATCTAAACCGGTTAAATACAATATGTCTTCTTTACAGAAACTCATGCACATGCATGTGTTGTGTGTGTGTGTGTGTGTGTGTGTGTGTGTGTGTGTTGTGTGTGTGTGTGTGTGTGTGTGTGTGTGTGTGTGTGTGTGTGTGTGTGTGTTTGTGTTTGTGTTTGTGTTTGTGTTTGTGTTTGTGTTGTGTTTGTGTGTGTGTGTGTGTGTGTGTGTGTGTGTATGTGTGTGTGTGTGTGTGTGTGTGTGTGTGTGTGTGTGTTGTGTGTGTGTGTGTGTGTGTTGTGTGTGTTGTGTGTGTGTGTGTGTGTGTGTGTGTGTGTGTGTGTGTGTGTGTGTGTGTGTGTGTGTGTGTGTGTGTGTGTGTGTGTGTGTGTGTGTGTGTTGTGTGTGTGTTGTGTGTGTTGTGTGTGTGTATGTGTTGTGTGTGGTGTGTGTGTATGTGTGTGTGTGTGTGTGTGTGTGTGTGTGTGTGTGTGGTGT